AGATGTACCAGTTTTAGTATCTGTGATCTGCTGAAGCCAGTTCCGTTTGGAAAAAGAGGTGGTAGATAATGATGCAACGAATAACGAACGATAGTAGCGAGGATTTTATGAAGATCTACGTAGCAGATTAAGTACAGAATGAAGGGATCTCACGACAAATACTTTAGATCACTAAGAAAAGCCCAGTCCAAGGAGGGTAAAATTCCCGGGTAATGCAGCCGATGCATTAAACCAGGTTAACTTGGCTTATAGAAAAGTAAAAAAACGTCCAGTAGACCCGCAGATATGATATCATCGCCACTGACGGGAACAAATCTGAATTGAGTATCGGCCGCGATCCGGGCAGTAGGTCGCAGATAGCGAGCATACAAGCCAGCTCTCCGGGAGGAACCCCTCCCGGCGAGCGTCCACAGGCCAACTCGTCGGGAGGAACCCCTCCCAGCGAGCTGGTTTTTAGGGTTCTCCCGACGGTGTGGCCTTTGCCCCTTTAGGCCGAGGGGGCTGGGTTTTTTTTTTCTTTTTTTTTTTTTTTTCTTTTTTTTCTTTTCTTTTTTTTAAAACAAACACTCCTGGAAGAGCCTCGCCGCCCATTCAGAGGGCGGGTATCCGCGGGTATCCGCGCGGATACCCGCCAACGCTGGCGGGTATCCGCCAGCGTATGCGTATGCGGATGCGGATGTCCAATTCCGCTGAAATGGTGAGAGGATATCCGAATCCAAACGGATATCCGGATGCGGCGCGCCCATCTCTAAACCAAACGGAAGTCCTTCAATTTTAGAAGGATATACATAGACCCTGTTTCTCTTTCTTTTCTTTGTGTCTTGCTTATCTGCCTCATTTCAAAAGGTTGGTTCCTCCTAATTGATCTTTTCAGGCTTGGTTGTTGTTATTTGCTTTATCCATTCACTGTTTTCTCACGTCTATTTCTGAGGATATCTCTTTTCTTTTCCTTAATTGAACTCTTTTAATTTAGGCCTTGTTGGCCTCAGAGCAGAATCATATTTGAAGATCACAAATGCGGTGAAATCTGGCACTTTTGCTGCAAAACCCAGAGAGATTTTACCTGATTTCCAAATATGTAGTTGCAACAAACAGGACCCTGGTTCTCTAATACTATTAGTCTTTGATTTAAGCTGCACATGTATTTATTTGACCTGAAAATTTTACATCTACATACCCGCTAGAGAACCTGGTAGCGGTTAGACAAGCAAGAAGATTAGAAATCCTTCTTGTTTTCTCTCCAACCCATATAAGGTTAGGTGATCTCTAGCTAACACAACCCCCTTCAATCAGAGGGATGTCAAGACCTGGCAAAGCAAAAGCCTCTAAAGGGCTTGTGACCAAAGTCAGGTTTTTTTTTTTTGGCTTGAGAGGCTTTGACGTTTTGGCGGTGGTAAACTTCATTCCATCATCATCCCATATTTCTCCTCAAAGTAGTGATGTTGGTGATGGCATCTACATAGATTCAAGGGTCCAAGGGTGTTTCAGAACTTGACCTACAGGCAATACAATAAATACTTATCATTGTGGGATCAGATCTGCAATGCAGAAGTTGTTTTCAACAATGTGTGGCCCATGGCCCATGGACATGTTTGGGTTGTGTTATGGTCTTGCAAGCGCGTCTGGGCACAAACTCAAGTCCCGCTTGGCCGATAGCCACCGGGGGTTTGATCTGTGCCCAGAGGGCTTGATCATCCGGAATCTGCGGGGGGCGGGACTTGGCACATACCCAAGTCCCGCTGGGCCAATTTCAAGCCCTGGGCCGATTGGTAGCAGGTGCCCCAGCTCGGCACTGGGCCCCGACTCAGCAGCTGGCCTTCTCGGGGGCGGGCATGTTGGCGGGCGTGGCACCCTCGCTTGATTTCGGTCAAGCGAGGCTTTGCTCCGACCCCCGCCAGCTTTGACATGTGCCAAGCGGGGGTTGGGAGGGTGCCACGCGGGCTTTACAGTCGGCCAAGCGTGCTTTAAGATTGGCCCAGCGCGCTTGGCCTGTTTTCGGCTGAAGTTTGGTGTGTGCCCAGACGGGCTTGCAACACCATATATAGTCTTTGGATGTGTTGAAATGTCCAGGAAAAGCTCAAGAGGCCAAGGCCTGGCAGGACCCCGGCAAGCCCCCCAATAGGGGGGTGTTGAAAAAGGTATGCTAAATTGGCAAAAATCCCAAAAACATACTCTTGAAAAAGCTTGAAAAAGGTAGGAATTATCCTTTTGGGCCAAAAAGGTGCTCTTGAAATTGCACATTTTAGGTATGTGAAACTGGTCAAAACCAGTAAAATCTGGAATTTGACCCCCAAAATTAGAATTAATTCGGGGAACCCCCTTTTTTTGGGGGATTGGGGCCTGAGCATACTCTTGAAAGTGGTATGTATGTCCCGGAAAACAGGTATGAATTTTGCCAAAATCCAGACTTTTTCAACACCCCCCTATTGGGGGGCTTGCCGGGGTCCTGGCCCGGCCCATTGAAGTGAGTGAGCATTTTGCTGAACGCCCCGACGCGTCGACGCGTCCACTTTAGCATGGTTACACTGGCAGACGAATTTTCAACCACACACACACACACACACAAACAAACAGACGACAGCAAGCCGATCCCACAATACATCAAAGAGCATGAGGACTGCGATGAGTTCACGAGCGAAGAAAGGGACGAAGCATCCATCAAGCCAGGAACACGAGGACAGCTGCAAGTCGGTTGCCGTCGATCCATCCGACCCAGCCAAATCACACCCACAGACCCACCACTCCTCTTCGACGACAAACACAGGCAAATCTACCACCACTGTTCGTCATCGACTGACCAAAAAGAAGGTCAACGGCGTCTGGAAGCCGCTCTCTTCGAAGAGCTGTGATCTCCTTCAAGAGTCCTTATCTCGGGCTATGAAGTCAGTCTACTCTTCATTTATTATTTTTGGAATGAAGTACTCTAGCGTCGATTCTTCTCTTGAACCATCTTTTCGGGCTCTCCAGGAAGACTCGATTGGACTATCCCTCCATCCGACGAGTCGAAAGCTTGACGAAGAAACTCACAAACAAGATCCGGGTCCCGCTGGGCGTTTACACTGGCCTGAAAACTAACGATGCCGGGAAAGTGGAGCTGCTCACCCTCGAGGGATTGATGAAGAAGAACCACGAGCTCGAGCTTCTCATCCAACAACGCCAACGCGCCATCGCCAAACTCGAACAAAAACTCGACCGATAGGTCTCTCATTGTTACTATCACAGACATCTTCCTCTAGTCATTCAAACAGTGACTTCTGCTCCTTTTTACAAATTCAATTCATGTCCTATAACAGTCTTCAAAAGACGTAAATCATATAATCATGTATTTTTGTAGATAATTTATGGACTATCATCTCAAGTTTGTATTGGTTTGCTGTTTACTACATCTTCAAAAGGGACCTTCCTACTTCTCTACTCATGTAAATCAAGCCCAAAAACAATTAACAGACCCATGTCTAGATGTACGTAAGCCACGTGCTTCGTGTGTATATTCTCATGACCAAAAGCAAACCAAGAACAATGATGATAACGAGAAAGAGCAGAAAAGAGCAGGAATCGAGCCATGATAGTAGTAGTGAAAATGAGAGTAGTAGTGTAGTGGTGTTAGTAAGGAAAGGGATAACCAAAATGCTTGACAATAGAGAGTTGCTCGGGATGGTTGGACAGTCATTTGAATTGAAACAAATTCAACATTTCCCCCTGCCCTGCTAATCAACAGTTAATAAAAGAGGAGCAGACTGCTTGTCTTGTGCTCTCTTTCCATACCCATGGAGGTATGAATGAACGGTTACCAAATCTTAACGGCGATTGGTCTTTCCTGATTTCCGCTTACCGGCAAACAAATGTTTGGGCATTCTGATCAAAGACGAAGTGGAATGAAAAAAAAGAGAAGATGGGTTGGTGATATGATGAACACGTGACAAGAACAGAGAAAGAAGAGAATTGAGGACGAACTTAGTAGGGATATGACGATCGGCTTCGCCAGCCTTAGCCAAACGATTAGGCCCTCTTCTTTGAAGCAATTGGAGTTTTCTAGCCTTGACCTCTTCACTGGGTCTACCGATACCAGCAACCCGACGATCTTTGACGGGCTCACGTTTAGGATCGATTCGGCCACCCAACTTGACTTTGAAACTACCATGATCGCCTTTCATCTTCTTCCTCTTTCCACTACTTTCACCATCCACATCCATCGCATCGTCCTCGTTCCCATCATCGCCATCATCTTGCGAAGTCCAAGCTTCTTCGTCGCCATCGATGTTCATCGCATCCCCATCCTCGCCCGCTTTCCTCTTCTTCTGCTTCTTGTCTTGAGTCGAGGCTTCGTAGGCTAATCGTTTCGCTTTCGCTAACAGCTCCGCTCGTTTCTCTAGCTTCTCAGTCTCGATCCCAGATTTCTTCATTCGTCCTAACATGTCACTCAATTTCATCGCTGGTCGGTCCGGTCTAGCGATGACTGCTCGGTTGAGATTCTGGTGACTTCTCCTTGCATGATCCGATCTGATCATCTTCTTTTGGGCTTGGATAGAAGTGGCAGTGACTTTAATAGCTTCTTCTTGATCCGAATTGAGATCTTCATACTCCTCGTTGTCCGATTCATAGAACCCTTCAGCCTCCAGCCTTTCCTCTTCTAGCTCCAACTCTTCGAGTTTGGTTAGAATATCCGGATCAACAAAGTCTGCAATATTTTTACCATTGATAATCTCGGGTATGTTGTCTTGTTTCCAATCTTCATTTTCGAGTAAGTAGGATTCTGGAAGTAATTAGGTTGAATGACGTCAGCCCACAAAACATGAGAGTGAAAGACAATAGAGGGGAGTCAAAAAGTACGCACTCTTGAGATTAACAGAGTATACACCTGGGCCACCACTTTGAGCCTCCAGATCTTTCTCCAAGATGATACGGTCGGGATCATTTGCGTCGTATTTCTTCCGTTCAACAGCGCCTTTTGGAATGAACGGCTTTCGCTCCACGTCGTCTCGTTTGACGGGCATGGCTACCCGGATACGGTTGGCAACATTCTCGACTCTCTTGGTTGCTTCCTTGGCCTCGACTCGATGGGCTAAGAGAGCATCGCATGCCTGATTCCGAACCTCCATCACACCTTCCTCACTGAAACAGGACACTTGTAAGAGTTGAATATCCTCTTGAGAGATGATTTCCTCAATCATCTGACGACGCTCGGGTTCTAAATCGTCGATCTTGCATACGTCGATCTTGTTGACGACTATGAATTTAGGCTTGTTGGCGAACAGAGGCTTAATAGATTGGAATAGTTGACACTGAGCTTCGACGGTATATCCACATTGTTCCGAAAGATCCATAAAGTACAGAATACACGATCTTAAATGAGCCATGGCGGTGATTGACTGCATTTCGATCGTATTCATCTCATCTAACGGCTGCCAAAGATAATATACAGGTCAGAATTCACCGAGCTTGAAGGATACGTGTGACTGCAAACGACGAGAAAAAGAGACCAACGTGATCTAGAATTCCGGGAGTATCGATGACTTGCCATCTTAGATACTTGTAATCCATGTGACCAACAAATAAACTTTTGGTGGTGAATGCATACGGTTGGACGTCAACGTCCGCTCTGGTGACCTTATTCATAAAACTCGATTTTCCAACGTTTGGATATCCGCATATCAACAGTGTACGAGTGGTGGGGTCAATGGTCGGTAAACGAGACATGTGTTGTCTGACTTGTTCTAGATAAGCCAAAGGTTCTTTCTGTCGTCTCATGATCGTCGCCATTCTATTTTTTTTTTGTTTTCGATATTGAATAGCTCAGTAAGATGAAACGGTGCTGTTGGAGGGGTTGAATCACTTACCTTCCGAGTGCGGCTTTTTTCAATTGTTTACATCGATACAAACTATCTCCAAATTTCAGTAATCTACAATAATCTTTTCCAACTTGATCGATTAAATGTTTGGCGGTATTTAATTGACCGAGGGCCAATTTGTAATGATTTTTATCATAGAGGATGTTGAGTAATGATGATAAGAATGGATGTAAATTCTGTTTTTTTTTTGGGGGGGGGGGAAGATTTTTAGTCAGAAGGTTCCATGTGAGCTCGTTTTTGGGAGAGATGCTCTTTTTTGTGTGAAGAGATGATAGAATGAAGGCTTTAGACTGACATCAAGGATTGGGAATTCTGATAAGATAGCTTCTAACTTTTCATCGAATGAGTCTTGAGTAAATTTGACTTTTCTCATATAAAACGATCTGATTCGACTGATCTTGAACCTGATATTGTGCAAAAGTATGGATTGATATATTTTGAGTACATCGTTCGGGCAAGGATTCACAAAAAAAGAACGTCATTCCGATATGATCGGAGTGAAACAAAGATGAAAAAGGAAGGCAAACGGACGAACCCTTTGTGGATGACGGTAGGCGTCTTACGCTGTGTTTTGGAGAGCACGATGTCCAAGAAATCAGCGGCAGTAGGGACTGGCGCGATGGCCTTGAGGCCTTTGGTGGCCATGGTGGGGAGGTGTTGGGTTGTTGTTTTGTGTATGAGGTTCGTTCAGTCGGTGGGTGTGGTTGGTGGTTGAGTTGATGGGTGAAGGGTGAAGGGGTGGAGTGTGTTTTTTGGTGTTGGTTGGTTGGTTTTGCATATGGGTGGTCTATGCATAAGCCCCCCTCTCGATCCAGACTGGGTCTACTCTGCAAACCACTCCAAAAGCCTCAAGTTCCAACTTCAAGGAACTCGAGACTCCGATGATTCATTAATCAGTCAATTGGTCAGTGATGTAGAACACACAATGAATTTCACTTATCTTCCTACCCAGTGATGGGCTTGGCCAATGATGGCAGGATGTCTCTCTGCAATGTGCTTGTGGACACCTCTTGATAAACAAGTAACCTCAAAGAAGCTGTTGCTTTATTTTTGATACAATTTGAAAGGATCCTCGTATTGTTTCACGGCAGGCAAAAGTGAAAGCGAATGGATAGGCTGGCTTGTCTTGGATCTTAAATACTTTCAAACCCATCTTATCAATCTCATAACTATTTCTCACAAACAAAATAAAGTCCTCATGAGGGGAGAAAATGATACATTCGGGTTTTATGCATAAATAGAAAGGGTGGTGGGCTCAGGTAATGAGGACTAGTTGGAAAACTGTGCGCAATGAATTCTCATGAAATGCAGCATACCATATTCGCATAGGCTTCAGACTAATCTCAATCATTAAAACCTCACGGCACGGGGCACGACGCTCTGATAGACTCAAATAAAACATAATGGCCAAGGGAAGATTGGAACTTGGATCTTTTTTCGATGATTTTCACCTGGCAAGTGTCGCCCGCTTCGGCTAACACCGATGTAACAAAGGGACTGATCAAGAACATATTTTTTTTTATTAAATACATCTATTCTAGTCTAATATTAGAAAGATGCGGGGGGAGGAGGAGGAATCTAACAATATTATAACATAACAAGGCTTGGGATATGGAAAACGGTTGGATGATGAAGGAAGGTCATGGTATTTGCACCGGATGTCTGCCAAGATCGGCGATATTGGTCTTCGGTTTGATCTTCAAATAAGTGGATGCTCAGGATCGAGACATCACTCTTCTACAACCAAAAGTTGACTACAAATGGTTCCCCCTAACAGCCCAATGCTTGGAAGGCTCTAGTTTTTGCCGTAGCCATCGTCCTTGTCGTCGTAGTCGTCATCATCCTTGTGCTTCTTGCCACAGTGGATAAAGCTTCGGCGTCCGTAAGGTTCGGCCTTGAGACTAAGTCGCCGGAAAGAGTCTTGGTTAGTGCCAGGTTATGCGTAGAAACAAAACAGAATGAAAGCGAAAAAAAAAGAAATGTATACTGACGCTTGGGCATTGCCAGCAACCTCGCGAGCTTCGAAGCAGTGAGCGGCCGCGAAGGATGGGCCTTGAATCAAGACTGCATAAAAAAACGATCAGAAAATTCGTGCCCCTAAGATGTAAGTCCCACGAGACGGGACGTACGTTGGACCAAGGCAAAGACCAAGGCAGTGGCTACAGCGAAGCGCATCTTTCTGGGTTGTATTTTGGAGAGGCTTCAAAGGGGTGGGGAGAACGGATGATCATCAACAATCATCGAGTATAACAATCAAATCATCAAATCAGTTGATCAACGATCAACACCATCAAGAATCACTAATCATACACCAGTGATCAGATTCAGATTCAGCACTGGATCCCTATGAGAACATTCGGGCTCAACAAATTTCAGTTGAGAGGAAATCTTATGAACTAACCTTACTGGTAATGTATTAGGGTGTTTCCTGGGGATGTTCTGGTAGTCTGAGGCTGGTGAGTTGGATGAGATATGGACATTGCGAGCTCTAGGAGTCTGTTATATAGTCTCCAGGTTCCCTTCAGAGCGCTTCTGCCGTCTTGTTCTGGCTTGGAGCTCACTTGCTTTGTTTCCGAGAGTTTGTCAGTCGATCAACAGAAACCAGCGGACGAAGTTTGCTCATGGTTTCGGGTCGCCTAGGAGCATGTCAGCTCTGAACTTCATCAAAGTATGTACTCCCTACATTGAAGCAACCCTTTCCTGACATCGTCAGCGGGATGCTTTCGATGGGGTATTTTCAGACATGTTCACTTCATTCACTCGGCACAGAGGGGAGAGGTTGAAGTTTCGTGTGACTGTCAAAAATGGAAGCCTTCCAGCTACACACCTCGTGCTTGTCCTCTGGGATGTTGAAAATGCCGTCGAGATTAAATCTGATGACCTGTTCAGGGCCAGCGAAATGGTGTGGATCACGTCTAACCAATACGAATTTTCGCGGAAGCAAGACTGTTGCGCGACTTGAAATATTCAGCTGTCTACAAAATCATGATCAGCGTCAAGCGAATTATCTGACTTCGTAGCACTTTGCTAGGTCGAGCCGAACTTATTAGCTTCCGAGAAGTCTAACCCTGAAGAAATTGGACAAATGTTCTTCGTGTATTTATGTGCATACGGTACATAAATTAAGAGACATCGACAGATCCACCTTCTTCCTTCAATTCCAATGGTTTCCGCCCCGGAGGTGTCCCGGCTTTTGTCTATACTTCAAGTTAGAAAAAAAAAGTAGAAAACCGGGAGAAAAACATATCTCTATATATCCTCCTCCTAGGCTAACTCGGCGCCAGTCGGCAAGTTTTCGATGGATTTCCATCTGACAGCCGAGTACGCCGAGCCTAACACAGTGACGCAGAGATACGTAGCAGGTTTCATGAATTGGGTGAGGCAATATTCAGGAAAGGGTCTACACTCACCTTTTTCATGAAGTGTATGTAAGCGGTAGTGTGATGCTGTCATTGGCAAAATGACTGTGCTACGGGTGAAGTTGGCTTACAAAGTTTGAAGGTGAAACCTCCCCAAACAGGCAAAAAAAAACACTAGGACAGACAACACTCTGTCAAACCACCTGCTGCATGATACCCCTGCACCCTGGCACTCGATAACGGGTGCAGGTCAGATGCTCAGTGTGACATTCATTGCAAGTTATGCTACAGAAAACAAAAAATTACAGTTGCAGATGGCATAAATGTGATGTTTGGATTTCTCAAGAACTAAATCATCTTTGGTGGAGGACTTCCAATTGAGTCTGGGCCCCTTGCAGAAGTCAATCTAGACCCGAAAACTGTAGATTCTTGCAGAGGAATTGGGTTTTGAGGCTTTAAATTGTTTCTGGGGGGGACCCGCAGATTGTGACAGGAAGTCCTCCAGTTAGAGAAATCTGTTACAATTAGGGAGTTAGTTTTACGACTTCCACATTCTAGTCAATGGCTCCCAACAACTGTTGAAAAAGGTCCAAATGGATGGCCCACTTTGGGAATCGGCCATCAAAGTTTTTTTTTCAATTTTATGGGAGTTGGCTCCCCAAACCACCCCTCATGCATGCGGGGTTTGGGGGGCGTTGATAAACGCACGCCAGCCCCCATTGCGCACGCCAAACCGCACGCCAGGTGCGGATTGGCGTGCGCGCCTGCACGCCAAAGCAAATTGGTGTGCGGGCCAGCACGCCAATCTACAGAGTGTAGACGGGCGTGCAGGCCTGCACGCCACAGGCATATGTGTTTAGGAGCGCTGCCGTCCCATAGGACCCAGGCATGGGTCCTATGGGACAGCGGCGGAGAATCCAGAAAAAAAAAAAAAAAAAAAAAAAAAAACAAGGCTGGGAGGGGGTTGCTCCCAGCCCAATGACTATAAATTCATAGCAGCTCATTGGGAGGAAACCCTCCCGATGAGCTGGACAGTACGCCAGCTCATTGGGAGGAAAACCTCTTGATGAGTTGGTACACATTCCAGCTCATCAGGAGGAAACCCTCCAGATGAGCTGCAATGTGTAAGCTCATCGGGAGGAAACCCTCTCGATGAGCTGGTACACATTCCAGCTCATCGGGAGGAAACCCTCCGGATGAACTGGTCTCAAACCCAGCTCATCGAAAGGTTTTCCACCCGATGAGCTGGAATGTGTAAGCTCATCGGGAGGAAACCCTCCCGATGAGCTGGTCTTAAACCCAGCTCATCGAGAGGTTTTCCTCCCGATGAGCTGGTATACTGTCCAGCTCATCGGGAGGAAACCCTCCTGATGAGCTGGAGCGAGGTCCGCTGGCGTGTTCCTGCACACGCCAGCCAACAGGGTTTGGACCCTGTGGATCCCTGGCATGTGCAGGGACACGACAGGATCCGCAAGGCGTGTGCACCCACACACCAAAAATAATTGGCGTGTGGGCGTGCGTGTGCGAGGGGGGAGGGTGTGTCGTTATCAAGCCCCGGGTTTGGGAGTTGCTCCCAATTGACCGGAAGGGTTCCTTCTGGTCAACAGGGTATAAGGAACTCATCAACCAGAAGGGGTTCCTTCTTGTTGATGTGGTATAATGACCTCACTGACCAGAAGGATTTCCTTACACCTCATCAACTAGAAGATACCCTTTCTTGTCAATGAGGTATAAGGACCTCATTAACCAGAAGGGGATTTACTTGTGGTCAATGAGATGATGTAAGGACCTCATTTACCAGAAGGATTTCCTTCTTGTCAATGAGGTCCTTAAACCTCATTGACCAGAAGGCACCATGAAAAATTTGAGGGCAGTACATGTCAGGTGACATGAAGCTAACTCCTGCCTGTATTCCAGTGTTACTTCAAAGCCAAAGGGTTGGGACTCCCTGATGACCACAAAGGGAAAATTGTTATTTGAGCAGACAAGCACCAGAGTAACAATGGAGTTGTAACATATGTCACTTCATGTCACCTGACACCTACTGCCCTCAGATATTTCCTGGTGAGGGCTCCTTCCAGTTGCAATTGGGAGCAACTCTCCCCCCCCCCATGCATGAGGGGTGGTTTGGGGAGCAGACTCCCAGAAAATTTAAAATAAAAAATGAAGAAAAAAAACTTTGATGGCCAACTGCCAAAGTTGGCCATCCATCTAGAGGAACAAGTACCAATGGATGTGTTGGCACCTAAGCTCAAAGAGGAGGAACAGATTTTGAATGGAATCTAGTGTCACCTTTTTGAGGGGAAAAAAAGGTGGTAAAACTCAGTTTTCAAGAGGAGAACCAATGGTTTTTGATTTCTTGTACTAGGCTAGGTTAAATAGATTAGATACAGGAGTTTGAGCTGTGGTTGTGAAGGAAATTAATAGAAACAAATGGAATAATGGTAGACAGAGAATTGGAACTCAATTGCTCTCTTGTTCTGATTCTTACTACTTTGATTCAATTCATTGAGACTCACCTAGAGCTTGATTATGGATCATAATCATCATTCTTATCTTTGCTTGTGACATCATTGACGTCACTACTTGATGTACAAGCTATGATCACACTTTTCTCTTGTTCTTTTGTTGAACAGCCTATCTTGGCAAATGATCACACATTACATGATCAGCGCAATGTTTTTAATTTATTTCTTCAGGAAGTTTATCAATCATGTGATATACTTACCTGATGCTCTCCTCTTTAAAGGGATAAGACAAGGAATTAAATTCCAACAGTTGGGAGCCATTGACTCAAATTTGGGAGTCATAAAACTAACTCCCTACAATATGGCAATTTTTTCTCTAGTTATTCTCTACAGCAGTTATTATGAGGATCTTTGTAACTATAACATAGACTTAGTATTTTAAACATTGTATTTCATTTAGACTTCAATTAGTTCTTTTGGGAATTCTCTTTCATGTATAACTGAATTGTTATTATTCTCTGTTTCTCTGTTTATTCTATCTCTGTTCTTTATTTTATCATTATCTTCAAGCCATATAATAAAATCTTTCCATCTTAAAATCCTCCCTACAAGAGTTTATTATATTCTAAGATAAACTACTCCTATCTCTTGTAGTATAGGTGGTATCTCCTCTTGTAGATCTTATAGACCTTTGGGAAGGAATAGTATTGTTGAGCCCTCACAATAAACCAACCCTTCCCCACCTTCAAAATTTAAAATAAACACACAGGCCCTTACAATTGGGGGGCATGTACCCTGATACTAGTTTTTATTAAAATTTTCAACTTGCATGGGTGTGTAGAATTTAAAATTATGAGCAATAAGAATTTGGCACAGTGTCACTATTTTTTCACACCTATGGCCCTGTTTGGAAGGGTCCAAAATCTAGGTGTAATATTGCCTGATTAATTTAATCAAAAATAAACCAATGCAAAATGTGTTACATAATTGTTACTCATGTAACAATTTTGTTGCACATTTTGCATTGGTTTATTTTTGATTGAATTAGGCAAGTTCAATGGATGGTTCCATCAATGCTGAGAACAAATTTGATATCTTAGCCCATCTTGAGACCCATAATCTTTGCATTACCCTTTGTATGGGTAAAAAGCGTAGCATTGGTATTATGGTGCTGAAGGGAGCCCATTATCTCAAATTTCTTTGTACTAGGATTGAAATCAGTAGTTGAACTTGCCCCAGTAAAAATTTTATTTACATACTTATTTTCTATCAAATTTATAAGGCAATGTTACACTCGAATTTATGATGCTGCCAAATGGGGCCTATATTATCAGACTGGCCTATGTAAAACCATACTCAAAGCCATTAGTATGGACTTAAAGCACTCCTACTTCATGTTTTATGACTCCTGAGTGTTGAGGGGCACAGGGTCGCAGGGACTGAATGTCACAGACTATGTCTTGCGACTAGCGAGCTGACCCTAAGAAATAATGTGGTTTGTATTCAATGGTAGAACGGCTCCTGAATCTGATATCAGAAGGACTAAATAAAAAGCCAAATTGCATAACTAACGTGGAAGCATACTGTACTGGATATGCATATCCACAATTCCAACACTGAGCTTGTGATGACACAAAGAGTTCTCTTTATTGCAAATCTTATCAAACAACCAGTAGTAGTAGATAAAAAAAACTAACAAGAGAAATAACAACAATAGTCAAGAAAAGATCAAAAAATTAAGCATCAAATGAGAATCATAAGAGAAATAGAAAAGGAAAAAATAATACCAACATTCTCTGAGAACAACAAAGCAATGACTAAACAGTGAAAAGATGATTTGATGAACACAACTAGAATTGAACAACAAACTAACATCAAATATTATTCATTAAATTAAAACAGACTAAGAAACAATCATATAGAATAGACAAAAACAACAAACAAAGAAACTACTAAATCTGAATGTTTATTGCTCCTCCTGAATTGGTGCATTTGGGTGTTTTGAGTCTGTGTGTATAAATCAATATCAGTGAGTTTCTACAGTCACAGTGTTTGAGATTGATGTATAAATACCTTGATGACTTCTTGACCTCTTGTACTTGATGAAATTTGTATCTTGATTCTTATGTTAAATGAAAAAGAAAAAGGAAAAAGAAAGGAAAAAAAACAGCAACACCAGGTTTACTATAGACTCAACTAACTATGATTATATAAGCATTTGAAATGTAGACTTTTAGTCACATGTGTGGGCTGATCTCACCTAAACTCCCACAGCTGGAGTTGCTAATTGCACCTCAACAGAGCTACCCTGGTTACCTTTTGAATACATATGCTGCCTTCCAATGATGCTTTAAGAATACATCCAGCCCATTCTTAGGGCCTAAAACCATGAAAGTATTGAAATCTTACGGGTTGTTGGTCTTCTAATTTGGACAGGGGGAAAGGTTATGTTGGTTCATGACATAATTAACTGTAACAATCAGGACATTCATTCACTGCTGATTTCAAAATGAGTTACCAAACTTAACCATGTCAAACCTTCTCCTGCTGATTTTCCAGGGTTTTTTTAAAGTTTGAAGGGGGGACCCCCTTCGGAAGCAAAATCCCTTACTTCACATACATTGATGCTTTCTATCCACATTTCTTTTTTAAAACAAAGATTCATGATGTGAAAGATAAAATTTAGCTAATTTTCAGACTGGGAATAGAAACCACAACATGAATTTTCACCCTGACATACAGCTGTCGCAAGAAAGCTTGTGGTTTCTCAAATTTTTATTGATATTTTTCTTGTGCAGTCATTTTTTTCCATCACCAGCCCTGCCAGTAATTTTTAAGTGCCACAGACCACCCACCAGGTGAGATTACCTGCTCAACTAAGTCATACACTTTTGAATTTTATTCCAGGTTGGCTGGTTGTGTGCTCCAATTTAACGCCGTGGGGCAGGGTTTGAAAATAAAATGGAGGCCAAAAAAAAGGTGCCACAAACAACACTGGGCTTTTATGCTGAACAACAGTGATAATCTGCTTAGCTTTAGCATAGTGGTGCTGAGAAATTCCCACTGATGCTGTAGTGTCAGCGGAATGTTAGTGGCACTATGCTAACACTATGCTGTGTTGAATCATCTCTAACAGAACTGGGGTGAATTGGAATATTTTCAGCAGACTTAACCAGAATTAAAAAAGGTTTTCACCAACTTTTCCCTGTCAAAAAGGAATCCAGTGGTTATTTGTAGGTTTGGCATACTTCAAACATATCCAAATAAACTCTGCTTTTGATCTTTTGTGGGAGGGACTTGATCAAATTGGAGCAGACCTTCAAAAACAGGGCCAGGCCAGCTATTTATCCAGGCTATCCAGTGTGACTAGGGGGGTCATGGAAAACACTGCTGGTGAGAGACCTGTTATTCTGTGAGAAAGTTGGTTTCAGCCTGTGGAAAACAAATCAATCCATCTCCACTCTGTTAGACATGCTCTTACACCATTTTGCAAATATGTCACTCTATTTTGGCTTATTGGTCACTAGTATATGCCCCCAAATTTGGGGAGGCTGCATGTTTTTGCCCCGGATGTTGGGTTTTACTCGATGACCTATGGGGTTTTCTTGAGTTGGACACCTGTCTGCCTCGGTCTAACGTCGGCGTTGACAAATCCAACAAATGTGAATTGGAGGTCAATGCCGGCATTAGATTGCATGACAGTTTGTTTGGCTCTCTGAGCCTATTTTTTTAGTTATATGTAGATAAATTCTGTTTTAGCATCTTATTCATAATGCATCACTACTGCTCCCACAACTGGATCCTTTTGTATCTAGATGACTTCAGACCTCTGGATACAAAGGAATTGAACTTTGTCAGTCCAGCTTATTTCTGATCCTGAGGCCAACCCTTAAGCCTTAACTCAGTCTTATCTCAAGAGTCAAGAGCACTTTAGCCCTCTTGAATAAGTATTTAAGCTTAATTTTCAGACTTTTTCTGCTATCTGACTTGCTGATCTTCTCCCCTCTCAACCCATAACTTCATAAAAAATCAACTGGACCCTGTCAGAATTGCCTGCCCTGGTGGAGACTCCAAAAAGATGTGACAGCATGCAGCCAATTCTGAACCACAGAGAAGCAGCTGGCTGCTGGAGGTCGGGCAATACTCTACCAGTGCTGCATCCTTGACAAACCCTAGTAAGATCACCAGAAACACATCACCCACACAGACAGAGAAACATCATTCACACAGACAGGGAAACATCACCCACACAGACAGAGAAGAAGACAGAAAACAAAAGAATTTTGTTGTCACCCAGAATGGGGTTACAGGGGTTTCACACCTAAGTTCTAACCCCTGTCAGAGGATGTATATAAACCTGATAGCCTATCTACATGCAATGATGGTCTTTTGACTCTTTGTGTCTCACTTGAGCAATATCGAGACATTTGTTCTTTGTTTCAGGCAATCCAAATTGCTTGAGACCCAGTCCTCACTACATGCTAATTACCCTCAAGGAACTCATACTACTAGCACACAGATATCAGCAAATTTTCTGACCTAATATGCAAAGAAGCATGATGAGAATCTGGCTATGATAAGCATAAATTTCTTACGACATTTAAATCCATCATCTTAAGACATTGCCTGGAAGAGAACACCACCAAAGGCAACCACGCTGAAGACACTTGATTTGACCTGATGGAACAAGATCCTCTTGAAGCTCAAGTGCTCAGCTATGTTCAGGAAATTGGGTAGAAAATACCCTCCCACCCAATTGATCATCAAGACTTGCATGTCACTAATGTGGTCATACCGGTGGCATTTGATAATTTGCAGAACTGGTTTGTTAAAGTCTACAAAGATAAATATAAATGGTTTGTAACCTCGCGTCTTGTGCTCACAATTATTGATTGGCTTCCACTTCCAGCCCCAAAATGTTTTACTCCTCACTTCTCATCGCCGGCTGTTGAGAATGTTGAGCCTTGGTGGATAAGCTACGTTAATGTAAACACGTAGCTCTAAGGATTTCCACATTCTTAGATGATGGGGATGTACGATCCACATGTGTTTAGGGAGGATAGAGGCTGCCTGCTCATGACCCCCGAGAAGGCCTTTCCAAGCCATTTGCTTATGTTGGCCGTTGGGCGACTTCTATCTCGATTCTTGACTGAGGCTCTCAGTGGGCTCTCACCTCGAATACATAGTGCTTTGAGCGCACTTCTGTCATCACCGGATCACCTGTAGCATTCGTGTTTCTCAAGTCAGCTCCAGTCCTCCTATTGAAACCTATGCAAACATTCTTTCCGGTAAAAATGCTCGGTCAGCATTAACAACCTCCCATGGTTTCTACACTTTCCCAGTGTGAGTGCTGCAGTTCCGCCGAAGGACCAGTCCCTGCTAGTCCTACAAACTTTTTCAGACGTCATAGTCTCCATACATTCGTCTAGGGAGAACACGAGCTCGAAGAAAATTGTGCCCGGTGATGATGGAGGATGCGAAGTATCACCGATGCAACCGATGCCATGACTCATCACTGCCGGTTTAATCAGGTCAACTCAGGTCACACAGACGCGGGCCGTCTACTTACTCTGATGATGAGTGTGATATCACTCGGATGATTCATGTATAGAGTCTAGAAAGACGAACCCTCTTTAAGCGTGACTGAACGCATCACAAGGGAACAGTCCTGCACGAGGAACAAATGCACCCTCACCAAGTCGGATGTGGAATATATAAGTAGACCGTGTTGTCTGCCTTGTCGCAAATCTTCAGCACCTCCCCCCAGTTCCTCAAGCTACTCCAATAAGACCATCCAATCTCGATTCCTATCCACGTAAGTATCTTTCCTTGGCTTCGCTATCGATGGAAGCTCAAGTTGTTTTTTGTGGCCCATTCGCTGGATCACAGCTTCGTTTTTTTTTTGAATTAACCGCTACTCAAATATCAATCTGCAATGCGTGGTACAATCATACTCTCTTTGGCTCTCAGCCTACTAGGTACGTCGCCTTCCGTTATGCTCGAATTAATCGATCATACTTGATTCCAGGTCGGTTTACTGATTTGTTTAAATTTTCAGCAATCCATGCGCCAAACCTAACCACTGGATCCTGCTTGAAAGTTCGCGACAATAAGCCCAGCGTGCAACAAGAGTGAGTCCCAAGTATTGAGGATTTAGTATAATTGCGAAGCACCTTTCCATTAACAAGTGTTAATGATCCATGACGATAGGGGTCAGCCAATCCCCCACATGCGTCGAAACCTTTGCAAATGGCTGCACAAGGGCGACAAAAAGGAACACAGTAAGAAGGAGAAGGATCCCAAAGACTCCTACTACAAAAAATCCGATCCCAAAGATGATTCTTCGTACGGCAAGGATGACGAAGGCGGGGACGCTGGAAAGGATGGCGACGACGAAGGCCCTGGCAAGGGCGAGGATCCCGGAAAGGGGGAGGACGATGACCCTTGGGGAAAGGAAGGTAACGGCGGCGCCGACGGCGAGGCTGGAAAGGGCAGCGGTGGAGCAAGCAACTCTGGTTCCGGCAGTTCCTCCGGCAGCGGTGGAGCTAGCGACCCGAGTTCCGGCAGTTACTCCGGCAGCGGTGGAGCCAGTGACCCCGGTTCCGGAAGTTCCTCCGGCAGCGGCGGATACGGCGGCGATGGATACGGGAAGTAGATTTGACACACAATTGCTCCGGAATCGTTGTTCCCTCATGTGCATTCCGATCAACCCCATGTCTCTTGCCTCTAAAATTTATCCCCTATCAACATAGTCTCTTTTCCTTACGCTGTTGTGTCCACCCTCGGAATCCATTGGATTGTCCTCTGAATTAGTCAGATGTCCTCGCGCTACCTCATTAAATGTTAGGATTGAAAACATGCCCCTGTTCTGAGATTTTGAGTAGAAAGAGAGCGTGTGCATGTGCCACATAAGTTGATGGAGTTGCTGTGTATCACTTTTACCAATTTTCTTCACTTGAGGATGCTCTTCGAGCCATGATAATCAAGGACATGATTGCTAACTCCGATCAAAATTCCGTTACATGCACAAGTAAACAAAAAAAAGTGAAATTTGGCTGTCGACGCCACCCTTGCTTTAAGCTACCATCCAATCCTACTCCATGGACAATATCAAAGATGAGGTTTTGATGTGAGAGAACTGAAGATGGCAGTGACCTTCCAGTAATTAGGTTTCTTCCGTTTGTAAGTTGATGATCAGGAAGTTCAGGCCTATAGACACTGCTACGCGTCAACTGGTAACATTGACGACGCATATCTACCGGATAGAAATATGCAGATTTGTCTAATTGGCTTGGGCTGAACCTGGGTTCATATTACAAGAATTCTTCCAGCCACGGTAAAGCATCCACTTCCTGATTACTGTCTGGTTAGCCTCCGGATTGTTGGCCAGTCTTGCGAGCTGTTCCGATCTTTGAAAATCCAGGTTTGCGAATTCTAAAAGCGTTCCGCACGATATGAAAGATCGTAAGCGGTTTTTATCCAAGCGATGATATGAACGCTGAGCAGAGAAGGGTTTACGCTATTAATAATAGGGAAAGCAGAGGGACCGGCTGACCAAAGATCAAGATAAAACGAGGGGTTCGAAATGGATCGCTCGAGGCAGACTGAAGACGACCAACAATCGATGAGTCGACGGTTTCGCCCACGTGAGTTTTCCTCCACCCATCCAACAAGTGGATCTCTGAGAGCAGTTCCGGCGATGGCTCAGCCAGCTCTACGGTCAGGATGTGGGAATGATAGGTCTGGTGATCGGAAGAGGAAGTCTTTCGTTGGACTTGCAGGGTGCAACGGTAAGTGCGTCTATCGATCGTGCCGATCCGGGTGAAAAGCTCGGCCTCTCGCGCCGAGCGATTCGCACGCAGACTCTGGTACCTCGGCTGGCCGAATAACCCAAGAGAACTGACTTGATAAATCGCTGCAAAGCCTGGAGCCTGGCCATCGATGGCCACGTATCGGGCACCAGTTTCGAACTCGGGAAATCTAGTGACCAACTCCATTCCTGCTCAGTTTATAGCTTCATGAATCAGGAACAAAAGAGATACATGTGCGGATGTTATCCCGGACCTTGACATTCTTTGCGGCACATGCTCTTCATCGTACCATTCTATGTAGATCCAGGAAAGACGGCAATATCAGTCCGATGCAAAAGACCTCCACAGATGGGGAATGACGAGAGACCGAAAGACTCGCCGTTAAACTCCTCCACCTCGACTGCCTCCCCCGGCTCTGAGAACACCACCAGGATCGCTTCATGTTCTGCTTGACCCGTCGACATATGTATGTATCTACTTCGCTCAATTAACCCGGGCTTGTGACTTGTCGAATCTCTCAAAAATGGTCGGGATATTGGGTCGTAGCAAGCAGCAATCAACAGTAACGGCGACCAGGGGAAAAGTGTTGACACGGCAATAATTGTTATAGGAGGTTATAGGTGAAGTTTGCGCATGGTTATTTGGCCAATCTGTACCCTGGAGGGCTCTGCACGATTGATCAACAACCTTTGCTGGGAAAGTGTCAGATGCCATTTACCCTTATCAATGGAGATCAACGACTGATGGCCTCTAATGGCCAGCATTCAAGTAAAAAGATAAGAGTGAATCTCACGAAAGGCTTGAGTGAACTTTGGTCGATCGCTCTAGTATTATCCAGCCTCGACAGTCAAAGTCTCCAAAGATAGCTTTTGCAACATGGCTCTTACACAGTCTTGAGACAGTCAGCTACCCGCAAGAGCTGCTGAGAATAGTTCAAGTCGACATGAATTTTTACAATCTTAAGTGTATATGACAATGTACAGATGTTATGAAAACTACCGAGTAAATATTGTGTATTTTATGATGGGTGAAGAAATAGCCACTTCGATGTGCTTGTCCAGACGAGAAACATCACATGTAAATAGAACGTAGAGGGAGTTCGAAAGTAATCAAGTCAATGTATCACGGTTCTACAACTCCTAGCTCCGGGTTTTCCGGCGAAACAAAAAAAAATCTACAATCTTTGGGCGGAGTACGATTCTGAAATAAAACAAGATTAATCTAGACATGGATGAATCAGGCATGGCAAGACCTGATTGAGGTAGTTCATGATGGACTCCAACTTTGATAGGTGATTCTTCTACATAGTAATTAGGTTTCCAAGCTGGGAAAGGGACAAACCGAAAGTAAAGAAATGAATTATCCTTGCAGTTGTTCTTGTTCAGTATCATCGGCATCTTTCATCTTTTCGAGATGAAACTCTGGGATGGTACCATCATGAAACCAGCTTCTATATAGCACTGAAACCTATATCAACCCATCACAAACATGAAAAACACACACAAAACATTGGGGCATCAATTCATCAATTTTAACACAACCAAATAAGAATCAAATAGGATCGTCAAATTTGTTTTGCCCATGGTTTTTTTATACTCATCACCCTTAAAGCTGTCAAAGGCTCAGCGCCAACGTGTTGTTTGGGTTGATACCAAGTGAAAATCGGAACATCAGGAGACAAGTGGAAGAAGACTTAACAGCTTGAGAGAGTGGAATCGGAGCGGGGTGACGCACGTACTCGTCGGTCAATCGAAATGCAAAGTCAACGACCTGGAAACGAATTAAAAAAAAGAAAATCTACTGAAGTAAGTAATTGTGACAGTTTCTGTGCCTCTTTGGCTAGAAAACACCAAGATAAATAAACATACGCTGAGCATGGGCTTTGGATTTGAATGACCGAGTCGAGATGCTTGATCATAATCGGCCAACATTTTATCGATTTTTTCCAACCTCTTTGGGTTTTTCTTCTGGAGCTGGTTGGGAGTAGTTGCAGCTTGATCGGATGATGAGGATGGCCGAGGCTCGTCGTTCTTCACGTTCGGTTGTAGCCACGACTTTCGGATGGCACTCCAATCGTTTCCTGGCGCGGTTTTTGGAAGTGCAGTCGATGATGAGTTGTCCTTGGTTTTCAGCTCCGTCGTTGATGGTTGGTTTGTCATGCTTCCTGGTGGCCTGATTCCGTTCGTTGCAGTCTTGCCGTCTTCATCACATGTGTCCTCTTTAATTGAAGTCTGCCCTTCCCTGTGGCCGGGGCGACCTGTCCCTTGATCTGGTCGATCTGTTTTAGTGTGACTGGCTGGACACACTGATGTGAAACCCATCGCTGTTTTGCTGACAGGCGTGTGACAGGGAAGGGTTTATCAAGGAAGCAAGGAGACCACTGCCAACAACAATCAACAAACTTGCTCAAAACCAACTCCGACGAATCTCCAGATGAGAAACAGATAATCCGGCATCAACACAGCAGATCATCAGTATAATTGGAAAAGGCCGCAGAAATTTCACAAGCCCATCTCAGCGGAGCTTGTTTTTCCCCTCAAGACAGAGATCGTCAGATGAGTTGGTGCTTGTTGCGGGTCACATTCATCAAGCGGAGTCATGGCCAGCGGAAAATCAATTGAAATCCTCGGAATCGATGAAGAAGAACTACTCAAGACTTACAGACTCTCCTCTTTGAAGCCTACCAAATGGGAGGACATCGATCCTTCAACCACTTCTCAGGATGTACGCGGTCTTAGTACCCCGAATTCGACCAAGCTCTCCAAGGGAGAAGACGATCCACTCGGATTATTGAGAGGGCCAATACTGTGAGTATCCAATCCATCTTACATGCCCTGATCCCTACATCTAATCCATTGATGTGGTTCATTTCAGGACGGACGTGTCTGGGGACCTTCGTTGAGTCAAATTTATGTCTGGAATCGGCAGAAAACAAAGAATCTGCAACCTAATACAAAGTTCTTCGTGAATCTCCATTTCCTCAGGCAGCACCGTTTCGACTACTTCCAAAACTTTCGACCCCAAGTCTTTCTTATCCACCGTCCACCCCAACGCAAGTTTTAGCGACTTGAAAAAAGGAGGGGCCAGATTGAGAGGTATGAGATACCACTGCGTAATCCTTAGAATCTACATTCGACGGCTACTTTTTTTGATTACCAAGAACTGTTGTCTTTGTCGAATTTCTGTAATCAGAAAGTTTGGAGCAGAGGAGTGAAGCCTTGAAGATTTTGGTTGAGAGTGAATTCGACAGGTTTGTCGCTGTTAAAGTCGCCAATGAAGGTCGGTGGTTATCATAATGTCGCGTGTTTGTAAATTTTACTGACCGATTTCACTAAAACAACGCAGCTGTATACGAGCAAATGAAAGCAGGACCTTTGAGATCAGAATGTGACTATGGAACGGCAGACCTTAAAGAGTCTCTTCGGCGTCAGTCACAACCTTACCTCAACCACAATCATGATCCCGGACCTGGGTGCCCAATTCTAAAAAATTCATGTTGTTTTTTTCTTCCAATTTTAGTGTGCACTTCCAAGGCTGATCAGGTGTACACACCCCTTCTTGAGAACCGCAAAAAGGCAGAACGACTGCGAAGTACCCTTGGTGTTTTCGAACGAAGCAAATTTTTCTTCAACCTACCTGGTACCCTCATTGAGTCCATCGAAGCTGTTAGTGTTCTTATTGTCCTATACCCTCTGACCCAATTTGCATGGCTAGCCAATTTGCTGATGATGGTGATAATATATGTCTAGGAGAAGTATGATGCTGTCCTCTTGGCTTATAAGCGTGGCAAGAACATGCTGGATTCCCGACCAGGTCAAGTTTTAAATTTACCAGCCCCAAGTAATCCCGAGCAACTAGCACAACAAAAACGGATCTTCAACAAAGTCTGGTCAGATGTCGAAAAAGTTATCAATGACTTCAAGTTCAACCTTCTGACAAAGTTGGCCACGTGGAATGATGGTTCAAAGCCTCTTGAAGAAATTGAGAAAACGATCGAGTTGAGTGATTTGATACGTAGTTGCTTTCTGACTGCCTGACGAAAGTCGGTCTTCTCGGTTGTGCTTGGTGGGGGTATCCAATCTAACCTAGTGATTGTTGCTTGCTTGGACTTAACTAGAATAATATTGGAATTGGATCCGATGTCTGATCCAGCTTGGGCTTTCTGCGAAAATCAACACAAGTCATTCATGGACAAGCTAGTGCTAATTTTCAAGGATGCCGTTAAGAAAACCCAAGGTAAATCATTCCCTCCCATCGCTTCCTAGCAAATCACCAAGCTAATTCTATCCTTTCATCCCACAGCTATAACTGCGCAAGCAAACTCTAAAGAATTCTCTGAAGATTATTTGATTGAGGATTTACGCAGCTGCTTGATCGCGGTCGAACCAACTACCATGATGGTTTCTGATGCTGTTGTCAAGAATGCGGTAGGCTCTGAGATCTGGTGTGCGATTCTCGAATTGATCCGGGTGTCCTCTCAATTGTTGTCGAAAGACCTTGCGGTGTATTGGCACGTTGTCAATGGCTATTTGAATGGAAAATACCAACGAGTGAGCTCAAACACTCATCATCAATACATCTCTGTTTGACATCAATGCTTCTTGCACTCATTCTGACTTTTTGATTTAGGCTGATGGCAAGCTGCGCAAAGATACGAGGTCTCGTCGATTGATCTCGTGCAAACAAATGACCAACGAAATCATCTTCCGATATTCCAGCTTGTTATCTGAATTCTTCGTGCTCTCCTCCGATCCCAACTCTGCATCCATCCGCTCACCAATCACCCAACTACCCGATTTCGCACCCAAGTATGCAAACTCGATCCAGGCCGCTTTTTACCTCAGGAAGATCCTCGACCATCTCACCGAATGGGTGCATGAATTCATGAACCTTGAGATCCCCAAGGAGAGCCTCAATTGTCTCAGAGAGTTTCTTGATACTGCGGGGTTTAAGTTTTTGTCTACTCTTGCTACCTATTGGGTCAAAGGTGTGTCTATTGAATACATTTAGCCTTGCCTCCATCGTTTGATTGATCCATGCTCAATTTTTCTGATGCCCCTGTCACATTCATCCACCCAGACGCCAAGATTTTCCACCTTCTAGAAGATTGGGTGCGTCCTGAGCGGAGTGAAGATGAGAATCAGCCGGTGGGAACGACGATGTACTTGAAGCGGATGTACAATTTCCAGCGATACATGATGCTCAATTCATACTGCTTGGCTGGTGGTAACGAGCAGGCGGGGCTTCAGATTATGGGCAGCCAGGGACTTGCTGACCAATCAGCAAGCAAATCAAAAACCAGCGTGGGTTAATAACTGAGTTAGCTGTCTTGACTAGTCTTCTGATCTCTCATCATCTTCTTTTTTTTTGTGGTCTCAGAGGAACTCGATTCCAGCCAATAGTTCGAGGAAGACTCAAGCTGCCTTCCTCGATGGTCTGTATGGCTTCCTAGATGGCCTGGTACATGTCGCATTTACTTCTGCCAAGCCTCGACCAGGGCTGCCTGAAACTCAATCATCATCCATCGAGCTTGCTTTCACTTCATCCCTGACGGTTGAAGAGACAGTTCCCAAGGCAGAAAATGGGATCGGGTTTGACGAAGAGGAGATTGTCAGTCGTATTTCTTAATCCATACCAGCTGGTGGGAAGGAAAATCGGAATGATGAATGTCAGATGTGCTAAGACTGCAACGTTCCTTCTGGGACTTGATCTCATATTTATAGGACATTCGCTTGTTGTTGACGATCAGTAATCTGTCCAACTTTACGGCAGTTTACATCCCTAGACTATTCAAACAGTTTTCTGAAGCCTTCTCGTCGGACATGACAAGCGATCTAGAGGTCAGTTTTGTCCATTGCCTTACGGAACCGTTTGTGTGTGTGTGTATGCGCTGATTTTTTGTCTGCTTGTCTTTTCTCAGACTCTGATGGATGTGGTTGAACAATTGGATGCGATTTTGCTGGGAGATTACATCAAAAGAAAGGCGGAGATCTTATCTGAGATCATTCAAACCGGTGTTCTGAGTAGCAAAGTTGATTGGCTGACGGCTCCAAAGCCGACCGGTCCGTACCACTCTTACTGCCACCTCAGTTTTCATAAGATAATTGCTCATGATATTCCCCTCGTTATCATTGTAACATTAGGTGTGAACTCGTTTGTCTACGACGCTCTACTAACCCTGGTCTTGGTACATTCTCAAGTCACAAGCCTTGTCGGACCGGTGCCGTCTAGCCAAAGCGGTGGTGAATCGCTGGTAAAAGTTGTGTTGTCTAAGTTGATTGAGGAGCTTGCTCAGGAATGTCTAAATGCGTTTGGGAATGTGGAGAAGTTTGGGATGGGCGGAATGTTACAAGTAAGTGTGTCGATGAAACTGGACCCATAGGTTGACAGATTATGATGAGTATGATTCTTAACATGACTCTTACGCGATGACTTGTTTGATTAGGCGACATTGGAGATCGAATTTATCCATCGAACGCTCTCGGCCTACATCACACCTCAGGCCGACTTGAGCATGCAAGGGATCTACCAGAAGATCACGAGTGCTTACCAACGAGCACCAGACCAAGCCGAACGGGATGGGGCTAATAACGAGCTCCAGAAGGAGCTGGAGGCCTTGAAACGTACCTTGCATCTCTCCCGGCGGACAACCGCCTTGGCGTTCGTTTGCTTCAAGAAACCTAAGCCTGTCTCCTCCGCTTCTCCCCATCATGAGGATAATATCACCGAGCCTGTCATCAAATAAACCATACTGTTTTTCTTTTTCTTTGTTGAAAGTGTGTGTTTTTTCGTTTCATTCTACAAGGGTGAAAACTCATATCCCCCATTTTTTTTTCCCGAGCATACCGTGTTGTCATGTCTATGTTGTATTTACGTGTTGATGGAATTCCTTGAAATTTCACCCCATACAGTAGTGCCTTTATTGTGCTCATTTTACGCCGATTTCCCACCGACTCCGAATTAGTATATCGGCTAGTATGACCGCCTCTCATTGGGTGTCCGCGGTAGAGACGGGTTCGACTCCCGTATTCGGAATGTATTTTCCAACATTTTTGTGCTCTATGAGTTTGGTTTCTTTTCGGTCTGGTATGGTGCAACTTCTTTTTCCACTTCCCGTGCCCCGAATCCCACTGGGACCACTCAGATTTGTGCACCAATGTTTAGCAAAGTCTGATCAGGCAGACGTGATACAGCATACCCAACAATGCTTGCAACTTTTTACAAAAAAAACAAAAGTTCGCTTGATCGAAAAAAAATATTTTAATTGAAATGTCAGTTGGCTGCCTGTCAGAACTCTCACTGTGTGATAGCAGATAGTTGAGTTGTCCTGATTTTCCCACCTTGCATACTGTCCCATAAGCCAAAAAGTTTTTCTTTGCAAGTCGAATTTTTTATTTTTTATTTCGAAAGTTGCAAGCATTGTTGGTTTGGCTGTACGTGATGAAAAATGGCAAGGTCTTAAATTTTCAATCTGCAGGTTTTCTTTTTTGCGAGTTGTTGAAGATATACTGGATGACCATCTCTCTTTGCACATCGTGTTTTTTTTTTTGACTACTTTCTGGAAAAGAGGATACTAAATGATTGGATTGAAGGCGATTTGATATGGTTCAGTTGGGTGCTGTTGTACCCGAGGGTGAGCTTTTGGATTTGAAAGAGAGAAAGGGGTTGAATTTGATGGGTTTTCGATGACGTCATCCATCCATTTCAGTGTCACTTGAGACTTCAGAGCTGGATGTATGCTGGATGACTCTTGACCAACTCTCATACTTGAATCTGATTCTGAACATCAACAGAGTAACAGTCCACCGTCTGCCTTGTGCAAGTGTTTCAGTGTGAAACCTTGTTTTTGAAAGATCCGATGGAACCGATTTCGAGTTCGGGTATGCCGAGTTCAGACACGGTTCCACCAATACTCGACCCGGGAGCCCGGATCTAATCCCTAGACCACACCAAGAAGTCAACTCGAACCTCCCAACGACAACAACCACTCGAAACTCATCCAAGCTGGCATTCGTCCGACTCAATCGAAACAAGAACGTCTATCGGCGTACCAACAAACAGATCATCATCGATGTAGACTCAGACTCAGACTGCTCACCACCAACTCATCCGCAAGATGACCAGGATCGAAAACCAACCACAAACCATCACCAGACACCCATCCACCAAACCACCACCAAAACCATCAACCAACGATCGGCTATCATCTCAATCCACTCCTCCGATCACACCCCATCCATCATCTCAATCGACTCTGACGACTCAGAATCAAACCATTCCATCATCCATCAGCATCAGCAGCAGTCCCCTCCCAAGAGGAAACCCTCGAATTCATACAACAATGACTCGCCCCTTCAGTTCAATCGAAGACTCACTCGGCCATCCAAGCCTAATCAGTCAACTAGTAGTACAGTCCAACAACCTACTCAAACAATCAAACCCAAACCGCGTCACAGGGCCATCTTTGTCAGAACTTTGCCCCATTCACCAGTCGTATTGATCCCTAGGATACCAAGAAAAGTAGCATCTCGAAAACCAGTCCTGGAGCAGTCGCCGATACAGCTGAAAACCACCCAGTCACCTACAATCGATCCTCCCTCTCCTCCTCCTCCTCCTCCTCCCCCTCTGGCCGATGTACCGACCGTTCAACCACCTATCGCGCTGGTTCCGCGCGTAGTTCGTGGTCGAATCTCCATGGTCACTGGTTCCGCCAGAAGAAGTCGTTTCCTGGATTTACTGCAATCTCAAAAACTTCCATCTAGTCCACAACAACCTCCTCAGACCCCTCGCCAACTTGCGATCCCACTCTCATCCCACAAACTCTCAAATCACTCTCCATTGATCTCTCATCATCAAAGCAATAGAAGCCCTTACGTCAATCGCACGACCAATGATGGTATCCAAAGCCTTTTGAAGATTTGTAATCAGAATCACGTCCTCAATTTCACGACGACGGTCGAGAATATTGAGAAAAAGGCAGTCTCGAATCGATTATCTAACCTCCGAACAAAGACCAAAGGAAGTTGGGAAAAGATCGGCGAGGCAACCTACTCGGAAGTTTTCTGTTGGTCGCCCAAACAGCTTGGTAATTTGTCAGATAGTACTAGAGGAGACAACGATAAGAAATCTCTGGAATCCAAAATCGTCATGAAGATCATCCCGATCAAAAGGAATAAGAAGTCATACCTCAAGACCCAAACGACTACCACTACTACTAGCGTGATCAATGTGAACGGAGATGAGAGTATGTCGGCTGAGATGGGTAACCAATCTTTGGAAAATGAGTTCCCACTGGAAACTGATTGTTTGGACGCCGAGAAGGAAATCAAATTGGCTCAATTGCTCGGATCCAAATCAAGTGAAGGATTCATCGATTTCAAAGGGTGATCACTTATTCCGACCTTTCCTCCAACAAATTCACTCTGGTTTATCACTAAACTCGTCTTCCCTTCCATTTCTGTCTCTGTGTACATTTACGTGTCTTTGCGTGAACAAAAAAAAAAAAAAACAGTTGTTTTGTCGTTTCGGGTGAATACCCCCGAGTCTTGTTAAGTGAATGGGATAAATATCGACGAAAGTTTCCAAAACAAGCTGAAAACCCGAGGCCAGGTGATATAAATATTTCTCCACTCATCATTTGTGAGCTGTGCAAAAACTAATCTAAGCTGTTTTCTTCGAATCCAGGAAAATTTTCGGTCACTCAGCTGTATTGTTGCCTACTCTTTGCGCATGCAGGTAGAGACCTTGAGGCTTCAAGTTTGAATGGATGGCAACAAGCTGCTAGCATACTTGAACAAGTTGCTCGCGCTCTAAATCAGGTCGAGGATGAATATGAATTTGAAGTAAGTCCGGTGTACTCCAAATAAACATCAGTAACTCCTTGTTTTTAACCAGCTCGATTTACCTTGTTTTTTTCTTTCTTCAAGCATCGAGATTTGCACTGGGGAAACTTGCTGATTCACTCAGTGAACCCCCCTCTTTTACAACAACCACCGCGCCAAGCAAATCCGATTTCGAACCCGAAAAAAAGTCGAGTGAAGATCTCAGAGGAGGATGTGAACGAATTAACAAACTCGATGGATGGGATCGGCTTAGATAAACCACCAACAGCTATTACGGACCCGTTGAGAGCAGAGATGAGTGGTGTGGGAGTCTCGATCATTGATTACGGCTTGTCGAGAGCAAAGATCGTCCACAAGAAGACTGGCAAAAATACTTACCCTGCAAAGACTAAGAGAGCTGCTGGTGACCACAAGGATCATGAGATCCTTTGGACTGATCCGGATCTCGATATCTTTGGCGCGTCGGGTAGCGATTATCAATTCGATTGTTATGATTTAATCAATCTTACTCGGGAAAACAAGCCTTGGTCGGAGTTCAATCCTATCAGTAATGTGATTGTAAGTTATCATCACCTCTTTGTTATCCTCTTCTCAATCGAACCTGCTCAGATTAATTTTTTCGATTTGAATCCGAAAATTATATTTCAGTGGCTGCATTATTTGACAAAGAAACTACTGGAAGAGAAGTCAATTGCTAGACCGGAGTCTATAGATGCCACGACAAGCACTCAGAAAGAGCGACGGAAAACGACAACGACGCGGGCGAGAAGAACAACAGCAACAGCTAACCAGAAGACGAAAGGCAAGAATGGACGATATAGCAGTCATCCATCGAACAAAGCTCTAGATGGAAGTGAGGATGAACATCCGGATGAAGAGGAAGAGAAGAAAAGAGGAGAACAGAAATCGAGAATCGAAGGTGAATGTTACGAATTACTTGTCGCTTCGCAACGGTTCTTGCACGACCTCATCCAGCTCAAAGTCGAGCGGATTCATCAACGTTCTGATCGAGACTCGGAGTCTCAATCTAAGGTCGGCCAGGAATCGAGGCAGAAAGCTAAGACGATTCGCACGGATCCTGTGGCCTCTTCGGTGAACAACCATTCTGTGGCAGACCATCAAGCAACCGAAAACGTGGCCTTGGTTCGCGAACTCTTGGATCCTTCCTATCCTTCTCAACCAGTCTTGAACAACAGCAACAACCCGGTCAAGCATCCGCTTCTCGAAGAGGATCGGATCCTCATGGACACTATCGACCAGAGATCTTTGCTCGTTAATCCCAGCCTGTTGGATCAGCTGGATTCCTTCTCGCTTAAGAAAAAGAAAAATCAAGCCAAAAACGCCGTCATGTCGTCCCTTACTTCCCTCTTTTTGGACTGGTTTCTTGCTTATAAAACTTGCGCTCTTTCTTGAGCTTATGTCTATATATATATTTATTGATTTATTTATGTAGTCTTCTGTAAGCGACTAATTGCTCTTTTTTGACTTTATTGGGTCACTTATTTTTCCAATTATATCCCGTTTTTTTCTTTTATTGTTGTTGTTGTTGGATTTTTTTTTGTAGGCGGGTTACTTATAGGGGGTCGAATTTTTTTTAGCCAGCTGAGGGTTCGCTGTGAGGTTTGGGGCCATGGTTTGTGCTTTCTAAAGCACTTTTTTATACGCTCTCAAGTTAACGGAAAAATCCAGAGTGTAATTCTCAGTAAAATGCTGACACTACAGTGGGCCCAGTTGGCCCCAGCAGTCGTGGCCTGTTTGTGAGCACAGAGTCCCAGCGCCTGGATGAGGAGTGCAGAGACTATGGCTCGGCTGTGTAGTGATGCTAATGTGGTAAATGGTGATGATAATGCCGGACTGAGACTCGGGCGGAGAGTAGACTACAGTCTACTCCGCGGTAGAGAAGGAGGAGGAGGAGGAGGCCCTGGCTGGCTCGGGTTCGGTGAGACGGCCACCCGCGAATCATGGGCCGTGGGACGAGGTATGTGGCTTGGGTCGTGAGACCGGCCGACTGGAGCTCATTTTCTTGATGGTGAGCCAAGCCGTCAGGGTGGAACTACGTTTTGGGAAGCCGTCGATGAGGTCCAAGACACTTTGGGCATCCCAGTCACTGGCTGGCTGATCAAGGCTATGCATGTTGCTGAGATGTTAGGAGTCGAGTTGGTTGAAGGAGGCGTTCTAGCCGCTACGACGGACTCCTCGCCCCCGAGCCCTTCCGGCTTTGTCCCCTTTTCTTCAGGTTAAATATGCCGCTCGCCGCGTGTCTCCCGTTGTGGCGCGCCTTGCCCATGGCCGGCTATCGGCTTCCGCCTTTCCCTTTCGGTGCAGGACTTTCTGTGGTGGTAAGAGCTCGCTCAGCCAGCGTCTCTGGATATAAATACCCCTTCAGGTTTGCCCCCATCACTTGATCCAGTCAGATCACTTCTCACCACCTCACTTTCTTTGGCTCTCGTGTTCATAGTTTCATAGACAATTTTTCCGCTCCATCGTATATTCACTTTCACATATTATAGGCCTGACTACTAGCTAGCCCCCACACCCCTCTTGCAGCCTAGCCTGTTTCAATCTTGATCTTGACCTTTCAACGCGTCTTAGACATCTGATTAGCACCCCTCCTACCGGCCAACGATGCAGCTCCCCGGTGCACTTAGCCTGACCAGCTTATTGGTCTCCTTCGCTATGAGTGCATACGCAATTTACCCCCCTCCCAACGACTACATCATGAGCATGGGACTTGACTGGGCAAATGGCTATCAGTCGGTCTATAATGCTAAAGGCGAGGACGCGTTCCGTTGGTACAAGAATTACGATACCCCTCGTCCTGGGATCTCGACCTCTAGACTTGCAGACGGATCTTCCAAAACGGTGTTTTCACTTGAGTCGGTGAGTTTAACAATATCAACTATCATGTAGTTTCCTTCAAACACATCCATCATTTAATAATCGTCAACCCTTCTCCTACAATCCCCCCCACCCCTACAGAGCAACGATTGGTGCGACGCCCCGAAACGGTTTTTGCAGTACAGATATCCCAACCAACCGTGGGCGGAACGGGACTATAGGCTTCAACTCAGACGCCACAGAGCCGACATGTGGCACTTCAACTACCCCGATAAATCCGGGACCCGCAGATACTACAGGTTCAACAAAAACTCTTCCAACATGGGCGGTCGGATCTACAGGGTGGCCCGCGGACAAAAGGATGTATTGGAAGGATTGTTGAGAAGTGAGTCACAAAGGCAAAAAGAAAAGAAAGAAACGATGTCTGACTTTTGGTTGGAACTTGGTCGGAGCAGGCAATGTACGCTACGATAAATGGTGGAACGACCCCAAAGGCCGGAACACATTTACCCTCTCCATTGTTGATGAAGCCCCAGTGGTAAGTGATGATTCAGAACAAAGTCTCCCCAAGTCTACTCCAACGACAGACTCCTGATTGCGCTCTCATTCATTCAACAGCCCGAAATGGTCATGTTGATGGCCTTGGTGCTTGAACATTCCCTTATCTGCGACAGGAAGTAAAATCCAACTCGCCTGACTCCTTGCTTGCTCCTCCCTAAATTTTTTGGTCACTGATCACCACCACCTTGTGGAGTACTAGATGTACGGACAGATTGTATAACACTTTTCTTTTTACCAGTTGATTCTTGGTTTATTTCCTCTCAAAGACAATTTACATAGCAGTGCTTTCAATACATCATTTGTGTCCATCCAAGCAATCCTGGATGGATTGTTCTCACCCTAGATGTCACATAAGTCTTGGTCAGAAAAGCGGGTGAGCAAAAAGATAAGTTGTCTTACATGAGATGCAAGAAACGCTATCATGAATCTCCCTTGATCACTTGGCACCTGAGTCCAGATTTTTTTGTGGCTGGGACTTCCCAGGGTAATGCTGTGTACAACTTCATGTGCCTCCATGACAGAAAATTCCTCTTGGCCATGGAGTTGTACCTCCATGACCAATGATTCCTCTTGGCCATGGCTGAGCTGCCCCCCCCCCCCCCCCTGGGAGAAAGACTCCCATGACTGTCTGTCAAACTCCTGGGGAGTTTTTCGCCCACTTCACCCTTGCATGATTGGGATTTGTCCCATTTGAATTTTTATTTTTTATTTTGGGGATTAATAAACATACCCCTTTTCTGCTATTTAAACACACTTTTCTGCTTTTAAGCCCAGTTTTTCCCAGCATGTTTGATTGATTTTTCAAGGATTTTAAATATGCTAAAAAATCATCTAAATTGATCATTCTTTTGAGGCCTATCAAAAATTCCCAAAAGAGGAGTTTCAATTTTTATGTATTTTTCTTACCAATTTTTTCCCCATGAATTTGTTTCTCCCTATGGGCTTTTGAAAATTCAAGTCTAGCAAAATTCATTATTAATTTTCCAGTTTTTAATTTTTTTCTCCATATAGATTCTACTATTTGACATCCTGCTTGTTCCATCCATTTGAGTTTTGGTTTTTACTCAAAACCAAGAAAAGTGAAATTGCCAAAACACAATTAAATTGGGTTGTTTATGAATTTTTTCAAGCTTATTTAAAATCCACAAAGAAATTCATTAAACAGGATGGGAAAAACTGAGTTTAAAAGCAGAAAAGCAGGTGTGAATAGCAGAGAGGGGGGGTACATTACTACATTTATTAATTCCTTTTTTTTTTGGGGGGGGGGGAGTTGGTGCCCCAAACCCTCCTTGGCCAGTGGGAGGGTTTGGGATTTTCCAGTACCCCAACCCCACTGTCTGGGAGGGATCCCTTCTAGTAATCAAGGCTTGACAACCTCAACGGCCAGAGCAAACCCCTTCCAGTGGTTGAGATCATGCAGTGTTGATGACCAGAAGGTATTCCTTCTGGTCATTGAAGTTTTATGGCCTTCACAGATAGAGGGAATCCCTTCTGGCCGATGTGGCAACAGTGGGCCAGCTACATTAACCATAGTGTAGCAGAATTCCGCTAAACTTTAGCGTAGCGTAGCAGAATTCTGCCACATCTGCACTAATACTACACGTATAGGCCCCAAAAAAGGGCCCACTACGCTATGCTAACATTCTGGTTAGCGGTTTTTTGGCCCTGTAGCGCTGTTAGCAGCCTGTAGGGCAGCATAGCGTAGCAAAAATCTGCTAAAAAAACGCTAACACTACAAGTTGTTTGCACAAAAAAAAGTGCCGCTACGCTATGCTTTTTAGGCCAAAAGCGTAGCGGCCCACTGCTGGTTGTGGAACTAATCTTTGAGGGAATAGATCTTAGAAAGTAGAGATGGTCACTTTGCATCCAGATATCTGTTCAGATCCGGATATCCACTCATAATTTCAGTGGAATTAGGCAATTCTGCTAAAATTAAGAGCGGATATCCGGATCTGCGCGGATATCCGGATCTGCGCGGATATCCGGATCTGCGCGGATATCCGGATGCAAGGTGTCCATCTCTATTAGAAAGGGATGAGTGCTTGAAGGGCTGCCTCTCTGGTTACTGGGAGAGCAAGAAAAACAAGAATTAAGAGTGTGGATTCTTCAAAAAAAGGTGTTGCTGAAATGAAAATGCAAGATATGTAAAGGGTATGGTTTGATGATATTAAGTCTGTATGAATTTTTTAAATATCTCAGATCTGTAATACTAAATATATTACAAGTAAGCAATGCTAAATCTATGAACACAGAGAAATACTAACAACTGTACTGGATGAAAAAATGGCATGGACAAAGGAGAGCACTACATTCAAGCCTTCTGGGAGGGGATAAGAAAAAAAAGGACAAGTAATTATCACAGGGAACATTTAACAAGGCAACAAAAAGGCCTGGGAAACAGGCTTGGAAATGACATATGTGGCACAGGTAAAACAAGGCTGAGAAAACAAGGTTGGAAACATGAAATATGTGGCCACTATATCAATGTGCAATGGTATGAAATGGAGAGAAAGAAAATGATGAAGCACAAGGGTTTTTCCTAAAAGTTTGGCTCTCTTGGATGAAGGACTTTCTCCCTCTTTATACCTATTTTGTATTTATTTTATTGTCAAGTGTGGCTGGCAGGCTATGGAGAGGGTTACTGATGGGTTGTTGGACCTTGTGGATTTGATGAGAGTGTCTATGGAGTGTTTGGAGGTGGCCAGGAGTGTATTACATATGTAGGGTGTAGAGTTGAGGGTTGTAATGATATGTAGAGACTATAAAAAGGGTCCAGAATGGTGCTAAAAAGGTGTAACAGGTTTTGATTGGTCTTACCACACTGTCAAGATTGAAAAAACCTCAACATCCAGAGGGAATCCCTCCCGGACAGTGGGGTTTGGGCAACCCCCAAACCTCCCACTTGAAAAGGAGGGTTTGGGGGGCCAACTCCCCCCCCCCCCCCCACACACACACAAAAAAAAAATGAAAATAAAATAAAATGGGACAACATCTCCCAATCCCGCAGCGGGGATTGTGAGAATAACTCCCCAGGATGTCAACAGACAGTCCTGGAGGTCATTCTCCCAAGTTTTGGGAGCCATTTTTCCAAGACTCAAAAACAACACTGACCTGCCCCCCCCCCCAAAAAAAAAAGGCTGACCTGCCCAAAAAGCAACCCCTGGCTGGGAGTACAACTCCCAAGCCACCACTTTCTTTTGGAGAAACAACTCCCACAACTCGGGATTTGGCCAGGGGTCTGGGTGATATCTCTGAGGTTTTGGGAGTTGCAAATCCAAAACCTAGGAGTTGTTTGGTCAACCCCCTGGGCCCTAAGAAAAAAAAAAAGGTATGTATTGTCAAAAGAAGTGAACAATCTACCCACAACTCAACGAGCCCAACATAGTCTCATGAAATTTATGATTTTACCACCAGTGTTGACCTCCAATTCAGATTTGTCAGAACCAAATTGAGAGCAAGAATGGCACTCAATTCAAGCAACTACATGAGCTTCAATTGTTCCAAAAACAAAAAAGCCTCAGTGCTTTCTCCTTATATACCCTACATTTAATTATGATGTGCTACCAGCCACTACAGCACCAAAAGGCCTCTAAAACCATAAACAGGGCAGTCCTAGTACTCAGGAGTATCATGCTAATACTACAGTTAGTGTAGCTGGTCCACCATTGCACAGCGTCTGGAGAAGATGAGCTCAGCCAGATCACTGTCTATGGCTTAGCAACATATCATGGATATCTTGCTCTCCTTCCCCAGAATGCCAGGCTTTTGCAACAACAACTCCTCCACAATCAACCGGAACAACCCATGCCATTTTTCCTATGTCAAAAACACATACTTGGGAATCAGTGTTTCCAATCAGGTCAGACCCATAGTCTTGTTCAGTTGGGCATGGCTATTGATGTGTAGGATGGGGATCATCTGGGGTTGAAGAGATTACACAGGTGTTGTAGTGTTCTTCTTCAACCCTCCTCAAAAGGTTACATAGACCATGAAAAAGTTACATGTACCTCTTGGACTTCCCCTTTTTCTGCACTCATCTACCACAAACTGATCACTGACATCATCCCATCAAAAATGAACTTGTATAAATTTTAAAATAAATTTAATCACTTATGAGCCAGGATAGTAGAGTACAATTACAATTTTTAGTATTGTTGTTTTTTTACGAAAAAATACCAATATGTTGAAATTATGGTTCTACACCAAAGTAAGAAAAGTCATAACATGACACAGAAAAACTAAAAAAATAAAAACCAAATCAAATCAAAGCTGCTCTTTTCTTTCTCCGCTAAATAAAAACATGTTCAAAACAAAAAACAAGAGAGAAGATAAGGTGATGATCAGCTTGAGGGTGTTTCTTCAGCTTTAGATGTAGAAGAAGGAGCAGGTTTAGAGGACGAAGATGAGGAGGGTTCTTGTTTTGGTTGTTGATCTTCTTCATTGACGGTATTTCGGACCGATCGACCACTGATCCTTCCGTTCACATACTGTTGTCCAATGATCTGTTATCCCAAGTCGGTTCGGCAAACATCGATTTGATCATTAATAGGCCCTTCAATCAGTTTATCTTTGCCAAGGAAAAGAGTTCGGAAAAAGAATGAATGAAAAAAGGAAGAAGGGTACGAAACTTCGACACCACGTCTGATTACATCAACCAAGACATCCTCGACCCATTCGTTTTCCTCGAACGGAATATCGAGCCAAACGGCGGGAGTAGCTTGAGTGACGGTAGCATGATCGAGGGAGTTCTTGACGTCCCTGAGGAGGATCAAGAAGAAGAGATGGTTCTCTTGGTCTACGGTGACCCCGCCCTTAGCGGGCTCGATCATCGCGCCCGGGCCCATCGACACGGGGCCTACCGATGAACCGAAGACGGGCAGACGGGAGAGAATTGGCTGGATGCGCACGTAGACTGGACAGTGGGTGATCGGAAGACCGGGCTCTTCTGTCGGCTCGGTCCGCTCCGATGATCCCTCCGTCTTCGCGGGATCGACATCGGCTTTCTTGGCTTCGATCCGCTTAATCATCTGCTCGAGATTGGCCTGTGTAGGAAAAAAAAAAGTACATACAATCAGTTCAAAGTTTTTCCGCACGTGATGAATGTTTAGAAATTGAGGAAACAGACCAATGCCAGCTTGTAGCCTTCCATCATCCCTTCAACCGCTTGCAGGTCGCGTTCAGGTTCGCCGGATTCCGATGGTTTAGGTCGTTCCTCGTCTCCCTTGTTGAGGATCAACTCGCCCCCATCAACTTGTTCCATGACCTGCATACAGAAACCTAACCGGATCAGAAAAAGTGTTCCTAGAATCCTTGATTATTATTTTTTTGGACAGGGAGCAAACTGCGATCGGATCGGATTGATGATTATGTTTTCACCTTGGAGAGAGAACGATAGACTAAGGTCTCGATTCCGTCGTAGCCGACCATATCGTAGGATAGTTGGACATCAATAATCTCGTGCTTCGAGATCGGTGGTGCGACCATGTTCATGATATCCGTCAAAGACTTGATTCCAGTGGCCTGTAAGTCCTTGCCTGCACGGATGTATAAAGAGTGATTAGTGATATTCGAGAGCGAATATGATTTTTTTTAGACAGACATACCTAATTGATCGATCCCGCTAGCCTTGACATAACCCATGACCCCCTCCTTCCATTTCTTGGCAGCTTCACTCTGACCACTGAGTTGGTTCTGCAAGTTAGAGTTGAAGCTCTTGACGATTTCGGATGATTTGGAGGGGTCAGAGACGACGGATTGGACCTGTCCGGCGGCGGACTTAGCCTGACTCAAGACGGACGAGGTGGCCTGTTTGAGCACGGAGCCCCAGCCCCAGGATGAGGAGGCTGGGGCTGCCGGTGAGATCAGAGGACTGGTGGCAGTCGTGGCTGGCTCGGGTTCGGTGAGACGGCCATCCGCGGAGCGTGGGCCGAGGGACGAGGTGGATGGCTTGCGTGAGACCGGCCGACTGGAACTCAGTTTCTTCGTGGTGATCGAGGCCGTGGGGGTGGAACTACGCTGGGTGATTTCGTCGATGAAGTCCAAGACACTCTGTGCATCCCCGGAGTTACTGGCTGGCTGATTAGGCTTGCTTATGTTGCCGGGAGTGGTGTTCGCCGTGTTAGTTGATGCTGATGATGACTGGTTATTGTTGGTCTTGGTTTTGAGGTATTTGTTGTTTGAGTTGTTGTTGGTCTGAGCTGTTGTTGTTGTTTTTGTTGCTGTTGTTGTTGTTGTTGTTGTTGTTGGGTTGTTTGTTGTTGGGACTGGTGCGAATGAGTCGAGGTCGTCTAAGATCGAGAGTACCTGATCGTGTGATGGTCGTTGTTTGGATGAGTCTGCCATCCTGTTTGTTTGCTTGTTGGTTGTTCTTGGGTTGTTCTTGGTGGGTGCTGCTCGCTGGCCGATCAACACGCCGGAGGACTCCCCGGCATCAACTAGGCGCCAAGACCGGGTGGGGTTTGTTTCCCCCGAACGGTAACATAGTTAACTTTGGCCGGATACACTGACAGGCAGGATTGCATTTCTTGACGTAATTCACAAACTTCATTTAATTGAAGCAGATTTACTTTCATCACAGGGGACTAGACAGCATACATATCCACCGCTTTTGTAGCCATAAAAATTATGGTGGAAGTTTTTGAGATTGACTCTACCTTACATCCGTGTAAAAGCCTCCCTGCGTCCCGGGCTGCAGTTGATGGGATTGGATCAGCTGGGCAACATGACCATCATCAATTCAGCTGTTCCCAACTTATTTGTGATTGTAATTTGTAAGGATGATTTTCTAGCTGGTCAAACTAGCTGGATTTGCCACTGTGTTTTGCTGTCACAGACTCTTCTTTTACAGAAGACACTCCCAAAAAAAATGGCCATCACAAATGCATAATGTAGGGCCTGGATGGCCTAGCAGTAAAGTTGTAAGAGCAGTTCCACTGCGGCCCCTACTGCCGGGCCGTAAAATCTTGATGATCGGATCCACGCAGCCAGTTTTACAGTCTCAAACTGCTGCGGCATACACCGCGACTTGGTGGAGTGGTTTGTAAAAGTTGATGACAGGTGTACTGTCGAGGGTGGTGTTGTGTGTGAGAGTTGAGTTTCACACGTTGTTGTTGTGTGAAAGTGTTGTTTGGAGGCCGTAGGCGAGTCCCTAGGAGTCCCTACATGTGAGGACTCGTGAGGAGAATTTACAGACTGCCGTAGATTTTAGCGACCGCGGTGGGTCGTGTCGAGTCCGTAAATTCCACCTACAGACCTGATTTACGGCCCGCGGTGGAGTTGCTCTAAACCATAGAAGCTGATCATTACATCCCCAGCAACAACATAGTTTAATTACTTTGCAGAGTTGACTGGAAGGGTTTCCTTCCGGTCTATGAGGTAGATGGAAGCACATTGCCTCGTTGACCGGAGGGATTTCCTTCCGGTCAAAGAGGATGTGCCTCGTTCACCGGAAGGGTTTCCTTCCAGTCAAAGAGGACGTACCTTGTTGATCGGAAGGAAACCCTTCCAATCAAAGAGGTAGATGTACCTCCCTGATTGGAAGGGTTTCCTTCCAATCAACAAGGTACATCCTTGTTGACCAGAAGGGTTTCCTTCTGGTCAATGAGGTACATGGGAAACCCTTCCGGTCAAGACTCAATATGGGGGCCGGGTACCGCCCCTTTTTTGCCAAAAAACTGGCACCCGGTGTGGTAATTAAATATGTAAAAAATTCAAAGTTTTTCTTTATATACATTTTTCTCATATATTCTTTCAGAAACCAACCAATATGGCCTCAGAAATGGACTCTACGGACAATTTCAGCCTAGGGCACCACTGGATGCATCATTGGAACCCTCACGGATTGGAAGTTACACCCCTACACCAGGGGAAATTTCAGGGCACTGGCTTTCCAGTGACTGCAAATCACAAATAAGTCACCCTGGAAGATTTGAATTTTTTTGTAAAAATCACTAAAAGGATCATGAAAGAAAATGGGACTCACAAGAAAGTCACTAGATTTTACCCAGAATTTACTGCTAATTTCCCAGAAAAGAAAATGAATTTCCTCTAAAATTCCCTTTTGCTTACACCTAGTTTCCCCCCAAAGATAAGGCTGCGGATTCAAATAAAAAAATAAAACCTGCTAATTGAATACAATTTTCATGGCCTCAGCAGTTTTTTTGGAACAAATGTTACAGATTTGATTCACAATCAGATCAAGGGAAGCTCTTATTCTTTTGGTTTTGTAGCCCCTGTAGAAATACATTTGGAACATCACAGAAATTCAACCATATTCAAGTTTGTGATTTCTCTTTCTAAATTCATCAATAACAGATGCCAATTATATGTTTATCACACTAATAGTGTACACCTTAATCAGAATTATAAATCAGATTCAAATTTATATTGCAAATGATTCATTTTTTAGGGGGAAGGAATGAAGTGATTAATTTGATTTTGATCAATCACTCATTTTAAATAGTGTCATGACAAGTCCAAACCTGCTGGGTCAAGTAGCTATGTATACCTGGTATTCCCACTAAAAGATTGTGGAACAGTGACCAGGAAGTATGGTCTTGCAAGCCAGTCTGGACACAGGTCCAAGACCTGTGTGGCTGAGTGCCAATGGGGCTTGGGTGTGTGCCCAGGGGGCTTGATTTGGTAGGTCGTGCGGGGACTGAAACTTGGCACTAGCCCAAGTCTGGCTTGGCCAAACCCAAGCTCTGGGCTCACCAGAGTGCGGGTGGCAGACTTGGGGCCCGGTCAAGTGTGGATCGGTGAGGTCAGCTTTGGCGCGGGTGGCACACTTGCTTGGGCTTGGCCAAGCATGACTTGGGCCTGACCCCCTCCAACTTTGGGAGGTGCCAAGCAAGGGTTGGGTTTAGAGGGGCACACGGGGTTTGGGATTGGCCAAGCCCGCTTGGGCTCTTTTTTGCCGAACTTGGGCCTGTCCCCAGACTGGCTTGCAAGACCATAGTACTGATCAGATAGCTAAATAGCTGGTTTTTTGTTGATTGGTCAGAGGGTTGGGATCCTCCTGATGTGCAAAGCCCTTAAATGACATGATCTGTGTTGGCCAAAAATTCAAAAAAAGTCAGTAAAAAGTCAAAAAAAATCACCCAACAAGTCCAAAAAAATTGGCAAGAAGTCCAAAAAAACGGTCCAAAAAGTTGAAAAAAAGTCCAAAAAGTCAAAAAAAAGTCGAAAAAAAGTCAAAAAAAGTCAAAAAAAAAATAAAAAAAAAAGTCAAAAACTTGGTCAGAAACCCAAAAAACCCCCAAAAAAAAGTCAAAAAAAAGTCAGTAAAAAGTCAAAAAAATTGGTCAAAAAGTCAAAACAAATCACCCAAAAAGTCCAAAAAAATTGGCCAAAAAGTCCAAAAAAACAGTCCAAAAAGTTGAAAAAAAAAGTCAAAAAAGTTGAAAAAAAAGTCAAAAATAAAATAAAAAATAAAAGTCAAAACTTGGTCAGAAACCCAAAAAAAAATCGAAAATCTTACAGTTTTTTTTTGGTGGGGATGGGGTCAAAAATTTGGCCTGGGGGGTCTTGGATTACCAAAGTCTGTTGCTTGGTTTTGAAGTGATGTGGTGGTTTTTCAAAAGTTTGGAGTGATGAGGTGGGTAGTTGTGTCTATTTTTGCTTGGTGTGCAGTGTGTAACATGATGGGTAAAGGGGGGGTGGGGGTTAGCACACGGCGCTAAAGGGGCTGCTGCAGCACAGTCTCATGTCAGATTACGCGTAATCCGACATGAGACTGTGCTGCAGCGGCCCCTTCAGAGCCTCTGCTAACCCCCTTTTGCAATACAAGATGTTTCTCTACAGAGAAGAAACATCAAAGATAGACCACTGGCACAACACATCTCACTACTCCAACCCCACACCTTCATGCTACACTGCACCACCTCAACTCTCAAACATGAAACATGAAATCCATAAAATTGGTCATAAATTATAATCATGAGCCTAACAAAAATTGGTATGGGTTCCTGTCAACAAGCTGGGGTCAGCTCTCTTAAAGAGACTCCCCCCAGCAATCCAGTAAACCCAGTTTTTCAGGAGTGACTCCTCCCAATAAAAATTATTATGCACCAGCTTTCCGGGAGCATCCCATCAAACCCAGCTTATTTTGGGAGGGATTGCCCCCCCCCCCCAAAAAAAAAAAACTGGAATATGAAACAGCTTGCTGGTGGATACTCAAACCAAAGCAAATGTGGAGGAAAACAATCAATATAATACAGCTTTCCAGGAGCAACTTCTCCTGGGATTTCAGTATTGGGAGAGGTACCTCCTGTAAAACAGGCTTATGTAACAGCTCACCAGGAGGGGCTCCTCCTGGCAGGCTGGTATTAAATCCATCTTGTGCTGGGAAGTATAGTCCTTCCCAAAAAACTGAATTTTTAACCAGCTTTTTAATCCTCCTGGAAAGCTGGGATTTATACTTGCTTATTGGGGGAGAATCCCTGCAACAAGCAGTTTTTGATACCAGTTTTTCAGGGGGAGCTCCTGTAATGTTGGCATTAAACACAGCTTGTTGGAAGGAGATTCTGAAACATTGGGAGTAAACCCAGCTCATTGGGATGAGTTCTTGATTAGTTGGTATTAAACCCAGATGAAATCCAGTTTGTTTGGAGGAACACCTCCTAATTTGGTGTAGGCAGCCTAAACCTCATCAGGAGGGGTTCCTTGCAATGAGCTGGGCTGAATAACAGATTACCTAGAAGGAAACCTATGAACAAGCTGCTATCTGACACAGTTTTTTTGGGAGGGAATTCTCCCAACAAAATGCATTAAGTAATGGTTTTTCAGGAGGGATTCCCACCAACAATTTGATTTTAAATTCAGATCGTAAGGAGGAGTCCACATTCCCTCCCAGATGGCTGGTGTCAGAACCATCTTGTTGAGATCAATTCCTTCCAATTCAGGGAAGGCTCATGTTTGATTAAGGGGGCATGATAACCCCCTTGCGCACACCAGGTGCGGATTGGTGTGTGCACCTGCACGCCAAAGTAAATTGGTGTGTGGGCCCGCACACCAATCTACAGAGTGTAGACCGGCGTGCAGGCCCGCACAGTGCACGTCAAAGATTCCTAAATGCATATGTACACATATGCATTTAGGACCACTACCATCCCATAGGACCCAGGCATGGGTCCTATAGGACGGCGGCGGAGAATCCTGAGAAAAAAGAAAACAAAAAAGGCTGGGAGGGGGTTCCTCCCAGCCTTAGACCATAAGCTCATAGGTTCATGTCAGGAGGTTTTCCTCCCAACAAGATGGCTTTGAATACAGCGCATTGGGAGGAAACCCTCCCAATGAGCTGGGCTTGAGACCAGCTCATCAGGAGTAAAACCTCCCAATGAGCT